CGTTGTTCTGAATTATTTCACCGTGAAAATGCGCATTCTGCACGTTTCGTTCGTAGACGATTGTAAATAATCAACATGCAAACAAACTAAATACCGATCCATAAATGTTATTTAAAAAAGAGAAATTACAAAATTAAATCGCTAGGTGTCCCTTTTTTGTATATTCCGAGATGTATCTACGAGCCATTCTTTGGATTTCGCGCAAATCGTACTCGTCGACAGAGAAAAAAGCGTAACGATGACGGAAGTTTGTTATCGATATCCGATTGATTGTTAATTGCATCCGTAATCCGCGCTTAGTGGATTTGTAATTAGTATAAATGTCTAAACCATTAGTCGGCGAATAATTGCTTATGCAATTAACAATTTTGCGGTCGACCGGGATTAAGGATAGCCATCTCTGAAATGTGTGTCGCTCTCGATGTTCAATTACTATGAATGGGAACATTTCTAGATGACAGGTGCATGTGAACGAAACTCATGTAACACACGTACATTCTAATTTATTACTGTTGTGCTGCTGAAATCAACCTGATTATATTTGTTGATTATAAAAAATATTGTGATATTTAAAAAAACCTTCATATATTCTCTCTCTAAAAACTATCATTGTTATATTGTTTGATTTCACCTTGTAAATTTCGATCATCATGTCTCTAGAACTGACCCCCTGTATATTTATTCGTATAAGTCGAGACAATTCGTAAAAGTCAAGCTATGTAAACCCAATTGACTCGGAAGAGAAAATACAGATCAATTTGAAATGTGTACGCACAACTTTGACAAACGTAAAGCATTTTCATTCCGGACGAGCAACATTCAATATACCTGGTCGAATTGATTTTTCATGTTTTTCCGTTTTACAAAAACTAAACTAATTAATTAATGTAACAATAGAGTGCAAGTGTAAAGCGAAATATTAATAAGATGTATTTATTACAAGTTTGGTTTAACAATGCACGTTATTAGATTGGCGTGATTCTTTAGACACTTAAATTGCTGGATAAAAAATTTGCCTGAACATAGCGGACTAAATAAAAACAAGTATACACATTTCTTCTAACATAGTGAATAATTGAGTAAAAATTTGCGTGTCAATTGTGTTTCTCGAGACACTTAATTCCGATCACAAGGTCGTTGAAAAATGTGAAGTTGGACAATGAGTTTTTAGATTAGCTCAATCTCGCTGACACCGGTGATAGTAAGATTTGCACACACATATGTATTACACGTTTCTCTGCAGCGTCGGATTTATGATTTTACGAGTTCCAGTTCTTATCTTTAATAATAAAAAAAAAAAAACCATACTTTGCAATCATAACAACTCATACGAGATATTTTATACAAACCTTCATCAGATGTTCTCCTTAGTCGTCACATGAAGTTATATGGATGTTCAACAGACGTCTAATGACCTTACGTTTGTGTAGAAATACACTGTGTAAAACATTTAAAATCTTTTTTGCCGATTTAATTTTTAAACTCAGTACTTTTTTCTCTATTTTGAGAGAAAAAAATTAAACCGCAGAGAAATTGAATACATCATGTATTTATAAATCCGTCGCTGAATCTTAATAAAAGATAGCACCGCTCGTACGCGATTGATTAATGGTTAATCGTTTGTGGAAAGTGTAATTCGCGACACACACAATTATACAAAGCTATAAAATCCAGTAAAAAACAGTGTACTGAAGTTGGAAATACAATTTATACACTTTTTATTTTTTTATCTTTACTTGATAATTGAAAATGTGATTTGCAACTTGTCTAATTAATTTTACCAAAGCGACACTATATCGTATCACAATATATCGTATGCATAAATATTTAGTTTTTATTTGGAAGACACAATTTGCATGAAAGTATTATTATCTAAAAGTCTCTATAACTTTATTTTGTCAAATATAATTTTTTCGATAAATCTTTCTTTTCCACTTTCCACCAACGATCAAAATTGCGTGCTATTTTGATGGCGTGTATGATTTTTACGAAGAAACTAGAATAAGTAAGATACGAGCGAAACGAAGAGGATGTAAGGTGTGAAAAAAACGATTGAATGTCTTTGATGTATTGTCTCCTCTCTCTCTCTCTCTCTCTCTCTCTCTCTCTCTCTCTCTCTCTCTCTCTCT